ATATATATATATATATATATATTCATATCCATGAATAATATTTATCTGAAATTTTGATTTTTTTGGACAAATATAAATCTATTAATAAAAATTACTTATTTGTGGATTTTTAATATGTTAATAATTAACTTTTTTTCAAGTAGTGGTTAGGTTTGAGCTTGTTTCCTATTTTTTTAAAGAAATACAATACGGAAATATTCATGTCATTACAAATTACAATCTTCCTATTTTGATAAAAAAAATTAAATGTTTTTTTTTTGTTTTAAAATAACATAAAACATACTGAATTTTGTTACTATTTACTATTTTATAGGTGTACCACATAGTTACCTATTCCATCTTAGCCTATATTTATATTTATTTATAGAAAAGTATGTCTAAGCCGTAGGAAACAAATTTCTGAACATTTTATTTGTATCCCATCAATTCACATCAAATAACCATTGATTAATACTATCAAAGAGTCGTTTCAAACGAGAAAAAAATGTATAAAATTTTAAAAATGAAGCGACAAAAAATAGAAATAGAAAATTAGGTTTGTGAAACGAGTAACAAATATGCAATTAATTATATATATTTTTATACTGAATGATAAAATTAAACCTTACTATAATAAAAATCATAAAAGGGGTTGGAACAAGTAATCCACAATTCATTTCATTTGTGAAAAGAGGATCTGAAAGAGAGAGAATCAGTGGAAGAAGATGATCTATCGGAAGTGGAGTCTCCTTACCGGTCCGGCCACCATCCTCGGCGGCGTTGTTGCCACCATCGCCGCCGCAAACTTCATCTTCGTCAAGAACGTAAGCTCCTTTATTCCTGTTCCTCTTTTCAAATCCCATCACTCCCTTTGTGTACTTAATGCAACCCTTCTAGATTTGTTCCAAAGGAGCGATCTTGATTCATTTTTCTGGATTTGGGTGCTGGTTTAGGATCTGGGTTTTCAGTATTTTTAATTAAATTCTTGCCTTTGTTATATCGATAATTATGTATTCATTTTGATTTTTTTTAATGAAAATGAAATTAGGGTTTTATTAAATTTTAGTTGCCTCCATCGATTGGATTATGGAAGTTAATTGGGATGCTCTAGATCCTGTGGATGAGGATTCAGGGATTCCTCCAAAGAAAAATAAATCCTAAAGCCTATTATTGAGCTTGATAATGAGGTTTGTGTGGAGTACCTGTTTCTTATTGATCGATTTAGATATTGTAGTCAGGTGATTAATGGGCCGAACCGCCAAAGTATCAATCGGCATAACTATTCTTTTCATAACATAGAAAGGCAAATGAACCGGGTTTTTATCCTACTAGGTGAGGTTGCTTAGATGATTCACAACCAAAAAGTATGGAATTCTATCAAAAACTAAATTCTAAGCAAAATCCACTTTTAAGAAGTGCTTTTTCATATAACGTGTAGAGGTTGAGTTATATCTCTATACCCTTTTCTGTTGCATTTGCTGGTTGTTTAAAAGAGTGAAATATTATTAGGTGATTGTAATTTACTTCTTTTAATTGTACTTTACAGGATCCATTCCTCAAACCAGAGGAGAGGAAGTTTGAAAACCAACCTGCAACCAAGTAGGAGAAAAGACGAATGATGTCATCTAAACCCTGATTTATGAGCTCTATTTATTCGTTTTGCTAGACATGTTCTCTCTGGTTATAATAATAATGAGATTCTGAATGATGCCTGGATTCTGGAGCATGGACCCTTAGTTTAGAACTAACCTTCCAAAGTTCTAGAAAACTGGTTCATATTTCAGGGGTCCATACTTGTCTCTTTTGTACAATCAACAATGTTGACTGCAAATGTGCAATGTGGTTTCTGATCTTCCATTTGTTTCTTTTATCCATATGAATTTACTGTTATCATTTCAAAATTCACACCTTTCTCTGCTTATTGCTTGTATTTATTGACTTTTGTATCTCATAGGAGATGGCTTATAAAATTTAAGTCTAAGACTGATATCTGTGTCTTGCATATCTGATGATAGTTATCAAAATCTTACAATTCATTATTCAAATCTTAGGATTCAATACAATTCAACTACCTAGTACCTACCAATTCTTATCATAATATGAATATTAAATGACTTTGTATCTTACAATACATTAACGAATCTATGCAATTTTGTATCATAGATATGAATCATACAATTCAATGATTCACTATTATTTTTTGTTCTTTTACCGTTTCTCGTGAAAAAATTGAAAAGTTATATATGCTTAGGTTGTTAAATGAAGAAGAATTGAAAGAACATTTATGAATTTATTCTATTTGATTATTCTACTACTCTATTTTTCACATATTCGATGCTCTATTTAATTGCTTCGTTTACATTGGGCATTATATATCATCTATATGATATATTTGAAGTAATATTTTTTTAGGTTTAAATGTTTTTAGTTTTTTAAATTTAGGGTAAATTTATTTTTTGTCTCTCAAATTTAAAACTATTTTGTTTTAAGTCTGTAATTTAAAAAAAAATTATTTTTGTCTTTTAGGTCGCCAATAATATATGAAAGTGACAAATTGAAATAATTATGCGATATCGATTGAGTTTAATGTGATACTTTCATTTTTAGATACACTAATAGGTAGATTTTATACAATAATATTTGACATTTTTAACAAAATTTGAGTATAATGACTAAAATAAGATTTTTTTTTTAATGTAGTTCAATTTAGTTTATAGTTAATAATAGTTTTATTTAGTTGATATTATAGTTTAGTTTAAACTCCTAGAACTATAGTGCACTAAAGTAGATAATAGTTTAGTTTAGTTTAGTCAATATTTATTTTAGTTCAATTTAGTTTGATGAACTATTTATTATAGTTTAGTTTAGTTTTCTTCTAGTTTAGTTCAATTTAGCAATTT